CCGGCATCCTCCCCCATCACCGGAGCCAACTCACCACCAGGTAGTGGTCAGTGGAAAGCTCAGCACCTCTCTTCACCCGAGTGTCCAAGACATACGGTCGCAAGTCCGATGAAACGATGACAAAGTCGATCATCGAACTGCGGCCTAGGGTGTCCTGGTGCCATGTGCACATATGGACACCCTTATGCTTGAACATGGTGTTCGTTATGGACAATCCATGACGAGCACAGAAGTCCAACAACAGAACACCACTCGAGTTCAGATCAGGGCGGCCATTCCTCCCAACCACGCCCCTCCAGGTCTCACTGTCATTGCCCACGTGAGCGAATGAGGAATGAGGGAAGAAGGGAGCGGGAGATCGACAGGCGGATTGGTGCAGCGTCTGCCGTGAAGCGGGCGCTGTACCGGTCCGTTGTGGTGAAGAGAGAGCTGAGTCAAAAAGCGAAGCTCTCGATTTACCGGTCGATCTACGTTCCTACCCTCATCTATGGTCATGAACTCTGGGTCATGACCGAAAGAACGAGATCGCGGATACAAGCGGCCGAAATGGGTTTCCTCCGTAGGGTGGCTGGGCTCTCCCTTAGAGATAGGGTGAGAAGCTCGGTCATCCGGGAGGGACTCGGAGTAGAGCCGCTGCTCCTCCACGTCGAGAGGAGCCAGTTGAGGTGGCTTGGGCATCTGTTTAGGATGCCTCCTGAACGCCTCCCTGGTGAGGGCACGTCCCACCGGGGGGAGGCCCCGGGGAAGACCCAGGACATGCTGGAGAGACTATGTTTCTCGGCTGGCCTGGGAACGCCTTGGGGTTCCTCCTGAAGAGCTGGAAGAAGTGGCTGGGGAGAGGGAAGTCTGGGCCTCCCTTCTTAAGCTGCTGCCCCCGCGACCCGACCCTGGATAAGCGGAGGAAGATGGATGGATGGATGGATGGATGGATGTTTCTCTCTCAAGGCCACACCATTCCCTGCAGAATGTTGTTTGTAGACCAGACAGAGCTTCTTCCATAACAATCCAGATTCTTTCTCAAGGTTTATTCATAACATGTTACTGTTAAGCAAAGTGTGTGTAATTTGTTATGACTCTGACTGCTTTCGATTGTTGTAACTAGGGGGGAACGAACCCTGCCCAGATCAGAACAGAGCAGAATGCTGTGCCATGATGACTGTTCTCTCTTTGCAAAGATTATTAATAAATGTGCCGACTGAGTGAAATCCATCCATCTCCGTTTATTTAACTAGGATGAATAGTTGAATACTTCCTTCCCACCACAGACACAATTTTTGGTGGAAAAGGAGTAGTGTGAACAACCGCAGCATAGCTAAACGAAGGACTAGAGGATTGAGTTTGTTTCTCTGACTTTGTGGAAAAAAGTAAGCAGAATGCGAAATTACCGTACGGTGTCGTGCCAAGGTAGCTATCCCTGCGAAAATTTGCATCCCCTCGTCGGGAGCGCGCACGGAGTAGGAAGATAAACCCGAGTTAACTCCGCCTCAATTCCAATGTGCAGAACTTGAAATTTGAAAGGTTTTACGTGTATGAAAGTTGAGCTTTACTGTTTTATTCTTTTCTTCACATGTTATAGCAGAATATCGCCAGTGATATTGATCTAAAACTAATAATAAAACACAAACGTTTGCTTGAAAGCTGGTCGCTGACAGCAGTGTCTACTCCTCCCACTGAAAGCAAACAGATCCTTGTTCTTTTCCACACCTTCCTTAAAAAAATCTCTCATTGTTTCACATTGTCCAAATGTTCTCATCCCATTGAAAACTGTTGTAAACCATATACTTGTAATAAAAATGAAATAGAAAATGGAGTGCACGTGTAATCATTAAAGACTATATGCAGAAGGAAATATTTTTTTCCTGGTTGAAATTTAGTACTTAAATCTATATCTGTGTTTATAGTAACGTACAATTTATCTATGTTGTACTATCCTTAATAAACAGTTTGTCTTCTAACATCAGCCGTTTTATTTCATCCCATTTTGCCACAATTGGCAGTATGGGATGAAATAAAACCTGCTGTAATCTGTTCCCCCTGTCTAAATCAGGCAAAAAAGGTCCCAGCTTTTTCATTTTTGGCTTATAAGCATCTTTTATGATGACAACTAACCCCTGAAACCTTGGAGTTGATTGACCTTTATTTCTTAAAGTTATAAGGGGGGAACAAATTATAGCAGGTCACCTGCCGTAATCTGTTCCCCCCTGTCTAAATCAGGCGAAAAGGGTCCCAGCTTTTTCATTTTTGTAGTTTGGCAGTATTTCGGTCATGGCAAGTCGGACCAAAAACAAACCACAGTCATCTGGAAAATGTGTCGGGAACCAGTGAAAACCAGTCTGATAACACAACCAACTTTTTTTTTTTATCATCTCAGCCGCTCCCACCCGCAGGAGTACGAGCTGTGTAGGCCCCGACGCGGCTCTCCTCCGAGGAATCTTCGGGAATTTCGGGAAAATATATATATATTTTCAGTTCTGGGCAGTTTCCCACGGAGTTGTAACAATTGAGATAAAAATGCTGAGGGGCCAGAAACTTCAAAGTAATAACTCAGGTTAAAGCAGGAAACGGGGGCGGCGGCGGTGGGGGGGCATTTATTTATTTGTTATATTTATTTTGGTCACTTTTCTGGTCACTTTAGTTTATTCTTTGTCAGTATTTAATAACATAACTCAGGTCTCTTAAGTTATTTTTCTTTAAAACAATTCTGTTATGGTTAAAAAAGTTGGTTAAATAAAGATTTAATTCGAAGTCTGTGTTTGTGTTTTTTATTAAAATTAAATCATTTAGCAATATTATAAAAAGTCCAGGCAGAGCTGCACATAAAATATGGTTTCAAATCTTTTCAATAATTATAGATATCGATCAATATGCATTTTTTTTTTATCGATAAGCTTTTTTTCTATATCGCCCAGCCCTAATCTATAAATCATTTACAAAACAGAGCCCGTGGTCTCCCCATATCTGACAGATCTGACCGCTCTCTTCTTTTCCAGTACGGACGGCAAGTCCGAAGGGACAAAGTTAAATTCTTCTTCTTCTTTTTTTAAGGCGGTTAGCAAGCAACTTATTGATGCGCGTTACCGCCATCTACTGGAATAGAGTGTGGATCGGGATGCTATAAATAAATTCTCCCATAAAATAAACAAACAAATAAATAAATACCATTATAATAATTAAGGTAATAAATCGTATATTCTTTCTATCAATTTCGTTTTTAAGGTAATTCATTAAAAAAAAAAAAAAAAACATTTAGAAGTAGAAAGTTTGTCCAAAATATCTTGTATATTTAATTGCAATTTATTTTCTTGTAACTGACAAACTAAAATCTTTCTCTCAACAGAATATTTAGAACAGACTAACAAAGCATGTTTTACTGTCTCTTCTTGAAAACAAAAATTACAATTTCCTGTTGGATGTTTTAAAGTTAAACATTCATCTGCATTCCACTTGATAAAATATGTAGTATATAAAACTCTAATCCTATATTTTACCAAATAGTAATATATTTTTAATCATAATTACTTTTTTTTTTTTTTTTTGGAATTAATTTACAAAAAAAAAATGTTTGTTTCAAGTGCCTATTGGAATGTCGGAAATAAGAGTGTAGTAAAGGAGCACATCTTGCTTCATCGATGTATAACTACGCTTCAGAGATATTATTTATATTTCAATTCCTCTAATATCCTTCCTCATGTAGGTAAGTGTTATCGAGAGAAAAGGTTTCCATCTATAGCAAACCAGATCCCAGGCTGTGATTCCGAAAGACAATCATTTTACATTAGAAAATACATTTAGGGAGGAAAATCAAATGTTCCCATTAAACAGAGTAATATTAATCATTATAATATAACATAAGTAGTACTCATATATTGGAGGGGTATCAGTAAAGTAGTATTTTACCTTTAAATTTAGAAAATAAAATTATTTAACTTTATTTATTTAAAATAAAGTTCCAGGCATGATCACTAAAGAGAATTAAATAATTTAAGTCCTACTATAATGATGTTTAAATACAAACGGATAAGTAAAAGTTGGAAACATATTTAGAAGGGCGTAATTAGAAGTTTTTATGATTAAAAAAAGTGTGTTCAGAAGGAGCAAACAAATGCATCATTTATGTAAAAAAAAAAAAAAAAAAAAAAAAAGCATAACAATTAAGGCAAGTAGATGCCAGACATAATCTTAATCACTTCAAACATTATTTATTTGGGGTCAAAAACAAGTTTAAAACTTCTGATGTTCCGTAGTCATTTACTTTCTGAAACTTAAAACACTCAAAATCTTCAGTTTACCAATTAAATAGAGTGATATTTATTAGACATCTCTTGTAGATTAGACACACATTTTTCACAAACAGTATCTTTTTTAATGATATGTTGCTATGTACAAGTATTAAAATATGTTTTACTTTGAACAGAATTTTTGATTTTTCCATTTTAAACTAGAATTAGTCTAGTTATTATAAAGTAAAAATCTGTTTTCTACAAAAGATGTGATATCTGAGTCCGAAACAAAAGAGTATAGTGCTAAGATTATTATTTCTTTGTTACAATCTTTCTATGGTTTTTGCAACAGTACCCTAGCCTCGTGAGACCATCCTGATCTCGCGAGCTTTCAAGGTTTCACTCGCAGATCAGTCTGGAGACTCTCCGTTAAAGAAAATTTGGAGCCGTTCACCAAACGAACGTCCAATCAGCGTTGGCTTTGAGGCGGGTTGAGGTGTGACGCAACGAGAAGCGCGACAGTTCAGTCTAAAGAACATGGCGGCTTCAGCCGATGAAACTAGCGTTAGCGTGGCTATCGAGCAAGTTTTATGGGAATTCCAGAGTATTTCTTCCCTGAAAGAAGAGCAAAACACTGCTCTGGAGGCTTTTCTCAGAGGAAAAGATGTTTTTGCTCTTCTCCCGACTGGTTTCAGCAAGAGTTTGATCTATCAATTGGCTCCTCTTCGTCGTCGCTCTGTTAGTACGTCATATGCTTCGTTGATCTGATTGGTTTATTTGGCCCGTCTATCACCAACATAGGCCAATCAGCTAACCAGTATTTTCGCCCCTTCCCAAAATTACTTCAATGGAAGGTTTCCAGATGGATATGCGGAGCAAATCCATCTGGCAGAGTCAGGTTAACAGTACCCAACTAATATTAGACTTTTTGACACGTGTGTATACAAAATGACAAATAAAACTGTCTAAGTCTAAGTACCACACTAATATGGTGGCATCAGTAGTGTGCAGCAGCTCTTGATCTGTTTCTCTGCCCTCATATCAACTTTTGTCCCCTTGTAACCAACTTAGAAGGTAAACTGCTTGTGATTGGCTACTTTTCAGGAAATCCCGCCTCTACTGTTTCCTTCCTAGTTGCCATGGAGATAGAAAAAACAAACATTTGTGTTTCTCCCACTGCCTAGCAACCAACCTATTGGGATTTTAAGACAAACTTTCAGTTTTCCCTGTTTTAAGACATCCAACATGTCTTATTTCGATCCAACAGAAAATGTGCACAGTAACCTAAAGGAGGAGGAGAAAGTAAAAAAACCAGTGAGGTGAGTAATTTTATCTGAGTTTCTGTATAACTGAGTCTGGTTACTGTTTGCTATTTTACTAAGATGACTGTTAGTTAACAAAGCAGGATTCTTTATATTTAACCATTTTAAACTATGGAATTAATGGGAAAAGACAAATGAGCGTTTGTTGCGACGATATACCCATTAAATAGAATATAAATATGCCTTTTTTTTTCTTATTTTTACAATTGGAAGATTAAAAATGAAACTTCTACTACAGGAATGAGTACAAATAAATGTACAAAATAAAATCTACTTAAAAAAATATATAGAGCAGGAAGCTGGCTTTTCCAGTCCTGCCCCAACTTTTTGAGCATTTCATCCTAATATTTTAAACTTTTAGGGCCATCCAAGTACCGATTGAGAATATAATTAATCATATGGTGTTTTTTGATATGTTTTTTATTATTTGACTTTGTAAAAATAATAATTTAGTAGAGGTTTGACCAGTGAAATCAATCAACTTTTATCTGCAGCCAAACAAAGGTTCCAGGCACATGTAGAATCACAGTTAGGCAATGTGGTCCTAAATCAAACATAACGCTTTGCACTGGTACCAGAAGTGGGATCATGGTATTTGCTGATTACTTTTCTTTGAATGAAAAATTAAAATACAAATTTGAATATTTTTATACATCTTTAAAACCAAAGCAGACAAAAAAAGTGTATGTTACTTTGGCCCCAAATGTTGTCATTTAATAAAAAGTTAGTTTTTTCCACATAAAATCTTAATAAATATGGATTGTGACGTTGTGACTGTCACTATGTGTAAAGCTGCTGCTACACTACAATTTCCCAGCTTGGGATAAATAAAGTAAATCTATTCTATTCTATTCTATTCTATGATTGAAGGGCTTTAATGGTTAAGTGGTTTTCTGAAATCTCCTTTAAAGGTATACAGCCAAGCACAGCCTAGCTGCGATTATTGAGTCCAAACAGAAATATGCAATGAAGACGATGGGACCACCTAAAGTGGAACTCCCGTCTCCAGATAAGTTCCTCGAAAAGCCTTCAAAGCAGTTTAAACCTCCTGCGGGTGAGTTGCTATACCTAAGGGTTCCTAAGGGTTTGTCTTATTAATGGGAATATGACCTGTGTCTGCTTTTGTTTTCTATTCGACAGAACCTGAACATTTCCACAAGCCTCCAGCCCCTTTACGGACCGACAAGCCACATATTAGGATCCAATCCAAGAAGGTTTTCTCACAGAAAACCGATTTGGTTAAAGTGACGCCTAAGCCTTCTTTCATAGAAACAAAGAAACAGCTTCTGGAAAACTCTGACCTTATCCCCAAATACATCAGAAAAAAGGTATTGTCCTTAATGCACCCTTTCACTTTGCTCTGTTACTTTCTATGGGTAACTTACCTGCCTGATTATTTCTCTATCTGTGTCTATTTTATCAGTAGAGCCCATTCTATATTAGTTTTCTATATCATAGAAAGTACTGCTTACTGTAACTAGCTTTTCTGTGTTCAGCAACTGATGGAGCAATTGTAACTGTTATCTTTTTGTTCTCCTTTTTAGTAACAGTGCTTCTGTGGTTATCTGTACATTTTCCCCCAAAAAAACTCCTCCTCACCCATTTTTTCTGTGTGTTTATCTACTTTCTGTTTTGAGACAGCACTGGTGTTATTGTTGCTTTGCTAACTAAACATGCACTTCTATAGAAGAAGTAAATCTGGCCGTCCATTATGCATTCACAGCACGGGTGTAACTTTCTGAAGGACCAACAATTTCCGCTTTTTTCCCCTTTCCGCTCATTTACTTTAGCCAAGGGTAACAGAGGTTGGGTGCAGCTATCTGTGTTCAGATCATTTTCAGTCAGTGTTTTTTTTCCCCTCTCTCATGCTGCTCCCGTGTCCCGCCTCTCGGTGTAACATCGTTGCTTTGAAACATGTGATTTTTGGTCGCGTTTAGCTGCATACGGAGCAGCTACGTGGTTGGAGGAGAGACACACAGCAGCACTCATTGAATATTAACCAGCAGCTACTTTGATGTTTGAGTAAAAGTAAAAATATTTGCCACCGAAAAATCTGTTCCTTAGACACACAGAGCTTTTTTTCGCAGAAAGGGCAACAGATTGTAAGTTTAAACAAGTTAATATTATAATGGAAGAAGCTTGAGAAAGTATAGTTGGTTCTTCTTTACCAGTTAAAGAAATCTTGGCTTCTCAGAGGACCATGACTCCCAGTTACAGGTTAAAATTAACATGTTTTCTTATCAGACTGCAGAGCTTTTACATACCGTAACATTTAGTTTCTGGCATCATTATATTAGTAAAGAGGTTCATAAATCTTTTTAACAGAGCACAGAAGTAGGGAGAGCTGCAGATTTAAGGTGAAAGTGATTTACTGGGATATGCAACATGCAATAAAATATATCTCCAAGTTTACCAGAAAGTTTAAAAGAAAAAAATATGCTTTCCTATATTCAAAATGCAGTATATCCATATTTTTCTGGATAAATGGATGCAATTGAAATTTTACTTCTAGAGATGCATTATATATCAGTTTTGGAATTGGAATCGGCTGTTATTATTATTTTTTTTAAATATGAATGTTTATATATATATATATATATATTAGGGCTGCAACTAACGATTATTTTAAAAATCGATGAATCGGCCGATTATTTTTTCGATTAATCGATGAATCGGACAAAAAATATTTTTTATACTAACCTCTTTATTCCAAAATAAACATTTTAGACAGAACAAGCAAGCACACAAGTACAGGTTGCTCATTAACTGTACTGGTGCAATATGAAAAATAAATGTTTGTGTTAAAACTACGCAAACTTACATGAGAAATGTAGCTGTACATCCACAAAATATAGGCTACTTTGTTTCATAAAGCGCAAAAAAAGACATTTTTGTTTTTAAAGCCCCTAAGGGGTTCAAACAATAGGCCCCCCCATTTCAACAACTGAGTTTTTTTAGACTAGAAGAGTTCTGCCTTTTAAGCCAGGAAAGTATAGCAGTTAAAGTTGCTACTTGAGAAAATACTTAACCATAGAGATAAAAATAGCCCTGTGATTCAAATTATAAATTGTATTTGGAATAAAAATGAGAGACCTAGGGGTGCTAAAAAACACATCCTCCAAAGACAGATATTTACAGTGGTGCAAAAAAGTATTTAGTCAGCCACCAATAGTGCAAGTTCTCCCACTCAAAAAGATGAGAGAGGCCGGTAATTTTCATCATAGATATACCTCAACCATGAGACAAAATGAGAAAAAAAAAATCCAGAAAACCACATTGTCTGATTTTTAAAGAATTTATTTGCAAAATATGGTGGAAAATAAGTATTTGGTCAATAACAAAGAAGCAAGATTTCTGGCTCTCACAGACCTGTAACTTCTTCTGTAAGAGGCTCCTCTGTCCTCCAGTCGTTACCTTCATTAATGGCACCTGTTTGAACCCGTTATCAGTATAAAAGACACCTGTCCACAACCGCAAACAGTCACACTCTAAACTCCACCATGGCCAAAACTAGAGAGCTGTCAAAGGACACCCGAAACAAAATTATAGACCTGCACCAGGCTGGGAAGTCTGAATCTGCAATAGGTAAACAGCTTGGTGTGAAGAAATCAACTGTGGGATCATTTATTAGAAAATGGAAAACATACAAGACCACTGATAATCTTCCTCGATCTGGGGCTCCACGCAAGATCTCACCCTGTGGGGTCAAAATGATCACAAGAACGGTGAGTAAAAATCCCAGAACCACACGGTGGGACCTAGTGAATGACCTGCAGAGAGCTGGGACCAAAGTAACAAAGGCTACCATCAGTAACGCACTACGCCGCCAGGGACTCAAATCCTGCAGTGCCAGACGTGTCCCCCTGCTTAAGCCAGTACATGTCAAGGCCCGTCTCAAGTTTGCTAGAGAGCATTTGGATGATCCAGACCATGACTGGGAGAATATCATATGGTCAGATGAAACCAAAATAGAACTTTTTGGTAAAAACTCTACTCGTCGTGTTTGGAGGAGAGAGAATGCTGAGTTGCATCCAAAGAACACCATACCTACAGTGAAGCATGGGGGTGGAAACATCATGCTTTGGGGCTGTTTTTCTGCTAAGGGACCAGGACGACTGATCCGTGTGAAGGAAAGAATGAATGGGGCCATGTATCGTCACATTTTGAGTGAAAACCTCCTTCCATCAGCAAGGGCATTGAAGATGAAACGTGGCTGGGTCTTTCAGCATGACGATGATCCCAAACACACCGCCCGGGTAACGAAGGAGTGGCTTCGTAAGAAGCATTTCAAGGTCCTGGAGTGGCCTAGCCAGTCTCCAGATCTCAACCCCATAAAAAATCTTTGGAGGGAGTAGAAAGTCCGTGTTGCCCAGCGACAGCCCCAGAACATCACTGCTCTAGAGGAGATCTGCATGGAGGAATGGGCCAAAATACCAGCAACAGTGTGTGAAAACCTTGTGAAGACTTACAGAAAACGTTTGATCTCTGTCATTGCCAACAAAGGGTATATAACAAAGTATTGAGATGAACTTTTGTAACTGACCAAATACTTATTTTCCACCATATTTTGCAAATAAATTCTTTAAAAATCAGACAATGTGATTTTCTGGATTTTTTTTTCTCATTTTGTCTCTCATAGTTGAGGTATATCTATGATGAAAATTACCGGCCTCTCTCATCTTTTTGAGTGGGAGAACTTGCACTATTGGTGGCTGACTAAATACTTTTTTGCCCCACTGTACATGGGAATGTAGCATATAATTAATTGACGTATTACTGATCTTGCTGGATTTTATGCTTTACTTCCATAAATTGCAGGATCTTCTTTACTTTATCTTTGCCAGAAGATTTAAACTTCAAAAGCCTTGCCCTCATAATTTGCAAGTTAATTTATTTATAAAGGCTATTTTAATTATTGTGATCAATTTGCACCGTCAATCCCGGCGCATGCGCGCTTCATTTGCAGTCTGGACGCTGAAACATCCTGCGGCTCTGACTGCAGCGCTGAGAGGGAGAACTGGGTTGGGATGGGGGGGCGCCCCACGGCAGCAGCTGCTGCTGCAGGACAAGAGTAGGAACGATACATGCTTTGACGTGAGAGTCTCCTAAAGCCGCCAGTGACACCGTAAAAAGTCGCCAGATTTGTCGCTAGTCGCTTTTTTTTTTTTTTTATTGTCGCTGGAGGGGTCTGAAAAGTCGCTAAATATAGCGACAAAGTCGCTGAGTAGGCAACACTGCGCACCTGCAGCGCTGGCTCGCTCTGCCGTAATTTTTTTTCTTCCCCCGTTTCAGTCAAGTGGCAGTGATGACGGCGGCGGCGGATGACGCATTAATCGCGCGACACAACTAATCGATGATGAAATTCGATTTCGTTGTTGCAGCCCTAATATATATATATATATATATATATATATATATATATATATATATATATATATATATATATATATAAAATGCACTAAAAGGCATTTCTCTAACTATTTATAAGTATCAATTGCAGTGTGTTATGGTTCTCTTGTGTTCTCAACAATAGGAAAGCATTCAATTAATATATGTTTCAGCTCATTTTTGGAAAATACAAAAACATAATGAAAGCGTTGGGGTAAAATAACTGTAGGTCCATCAGCTCCCACCCTTAGAGTGTCCCCACCAACTTTCATCACAAAGTTTCACCCTTGGTTCACAGGACTTTTCATAAAAAGTAGACTCAAACATCTATGTTGAGCTGTGTCTCTCTCCTGAGAGAATCTACAGAGAGAAGAGTTGTTAACTTTAACTCTGAATATTTCTTTGTTTTTTTTTTTTTGTCGCCTACATACATACAGTAGCACTCCTAGCTCAGGGCTTGCTTATTTTTCTCTCCCCCTTGTGCTTTTAAAGAGTACCAACCTGCTGCTAGATGGTTTAGTTAAAAATTGGATTAAAACAATTGTCTATGATTCCCCTGAGTCTGAAGATGAGCAATAAAGATTATAGAAGGATTATATTAACTGCAAAATCATGGTTTTCAGAGCCCAGTTTGATACATAAGCAGATCGTGAAGCATGACGTTTCTTCAATCTCTAGGATTATGGTAAAGTACCTGCGTACTTGAAGCGGCGCACAGAAGCTGAACAAAAGGCTAGGGAGGAGAGGGAGGAGTGCGAGCGCGTTGTAAAGAAGCCGAACACCAGGGAAGGCCTACCAGAAGAGGACCTTCATGCTATACTAAAGGTTAACTAAATTTCCTTAGGCCCATGTAAAGTCTCCGATGAAGAAAACCAAATTAGATTGTTGAAGTCAAAGGGGTTTAAAGACAGAATTATGTCTTTTTTTAAATAATAGCCTTTGAAAAACCTTCAGGTTAAAATTTCTTTGTGTTTTTTTTTTTTTTTTGAAGATGCTGAAGAAGAAGAAAGTCCATAATAAATATCAGATCCCTGCCTATCTCATAAACACCGGGACAAAGAAAAAAGAGAAGATCTTTCTGGAAGAGAAAACGACACAACTGGAGAAGGATATCAGCATCTTAGAAAAGTTCAAAACCATCTACATTTCTCCAGCTAGCAGCTTAGATCTTCTGCCAGCTTCAGATACTTCTTCTGAAAATTAAAATGTTCTATATTTCCTGTTATCTCTAAAGCTGTGCTACAAAATAAATCTAACTTTACAGTTTTATTGCAGAGAAGATCTACATATTTTATTGAAAAAAAACTAAAACAAAGTTGTGTAGAAGCAAAACACCTTGTTTTCTTTAATTATTATTATACCAATATATGTACAAACACATATTAGAATTAACAGTAATTCAAATATACAAAGTGCATGAGGTACATTGAGGTATTGAGAATATCAGGTCATGATTATCTAAACATCAAATGACAAAGTGCATATAAAGGAGTGCAGTATGCTTCAGAATTAATGTCCATTTCATCCATCTTTCTAAGTTTTAACAAAATGTTTTAGTTTTGTTGCATTCATAGAAAATATGGTAAAGTGTGTTTCTTTAGCTCTGGGTTATATTTGGAGTTTCAGAGAGAAGCTTCTTAATTGTTCAATACAATTTTTTTGTCATATTTGTAGAGTATATATATATAAATCTAAATATGTCTCTTAAATCATTAAATGTAATATATATCTTATAGGTCATTCTGGATGTCTGATAAATCCTTAGAAGGTGTGCTAATAAAACACGATGCTTTAATATCACAACTTGTGGCCAAAACCTGAGCACCAAGGAATGTAAATGTGAGGGGGAGCTGGATTGGAATGTATGATAGCTTTCTAATTTAGAGACGAGGTGGCCGAGAGATTAAAGCCATGGTTTTCTAATCTGTTGTGCTCTGCACACGTGGGTTTGAATCCCATCTTTTTTGATAAGATGCTCTTCTACATCCTAGTGGTTAGAGCAGTGTGCTTGTGATCTGAGAACGATGCTTGTACCTGGTTCGATCCCCACAGCCTCCACTCTGAGTTCCAGAGCAAAACCCTTAATCCCACACTGCAGGGGATGGGTTAAATGCAGAGAATGAATTTCCCCATTGCGGGACGATAAAGGGATTTACATTTATTTCTTTTTTTATTGACATTCCTGTGAGCTGCAGGTGTGGTTACAACTTGTACACTGAACTGCGTGATGCTTTGTCATTTCTTACAAAGATTTAAGGTTTAGATGTATGGTATAAGATATATATTTTTCCCTTTTGGATAAAAACCGAGAAAACTGATCACTTTGTGTTTTCCTATTGAATCATTTCATCTAATTAGATATTTCAAATGTTGCGCTGGTTTATTTCACAAAGGATTCCCAAAAACTGGAGCCCACAGTGAAGATCTAAAACGTGTTTACAGTTAAAGTCATCCCTTTTTAAAATCACTCTTATTTCAGTCAAATACCGTGTCAATGTAAGTTGATGCAGTGGAGTATAACCCACACTTAAACTCACTTTATGATTTTAATCATATATTGTGTAATCTAAAGATAAATTACCTCTAAAAAAATAACAAAAGGATAAGATTCTTCTGATTAGTTCAACTAGATTAACATGCAGATTTTCTTTTAAATTGGACTTTATTTGACTTTAAAAATACAGATTAAAATCCTATTTCCTTTAAAAGACTAAGAAAGATGAAAGTTTGTCATCACTGGTCAGATCAGGGAGGAGACCATAGAAAATAACGGCGTCCGACATTGTTTTTATAAACGTATAGACCAAAGCAACACTGATTTTAGTGACCTTTGATTGGTGTTACAGGGTGTCATTACCACCAGCGTGAATAACAATCTTACTGTATTTAACCTTATCCTTAGCCAGCAGTTTCAGGTAGGATTTGATGTCGCCCGTTCTGGCCCCCGGCAAACATTTGACTATGGTCCCTGGTGTCTCTAACGCCACGTTTCTGACTATGGAGCTGCCAATCACCAGAGTGGGCTTCTCAGTGGGTGTGTCACTGAGTGGGGTAAATCAGTTAGAAACAAGGACGGGTTGGTGGTGACCAGTTGGCAGAGATTCACGACTAGACTTTCTTCGTATCGTCACCCAGTCACCTGGCTGCGATACAGTTAAAACCTTACACACTTAGTATTTATTGTGATAAGGAATTTACTTTTTTTTTTTTACAAAAAAGCGGCTGACTTTACTATTAGGAAACAGTAGATCTGTTGGTGTTTATTAAGGACTATAGGAAGTAGAATTAATTGATAATCGAAGAATTGTCAACTAATATGAATCATCACTTAGAGTAACAGTGATGAAAGTGCTACTTGTCCTGGCATCGTTTACTTTATCTCCTTTAGCCTGCAAAGACTTTTTGCAACAGGCCTAATCAGCAGACATAAACATGTTTGTACGCCACCTGCTGTCAGTGCTGAAGAACTGTCTGCATTGTCTGTTTCTAAAATATAGTACACCGTTTTTGTTATTATTTGCTTTTTTAAAACACCAATCAGTTATCTATATTCATGGTAAATGCAAAAAAATAAATTCATAATAAAAAATAAATAAAGTTAAAACAGTTTAAATAAATTTTACAATGAAGCCGAGAATTTAATTTAATTCATTTTATTTATATAGCGCCAATTCACAACACAAGTCATCTCAAGGCACAAAACCAGTTGATTGCATCGACTCATTGACTCTTCAGCAATCCCTCACACTAAGCATGCTTGTAGCGACAGTGGAGAGGAAAAACTCCCTTTGAACAGGAAGAAACCTCCAGCAGAACCAGGCTCAGTGTGAGCGGCCATCTGCTGAGGCCCACTGGGGTTCAAGGAGACAGAAGCAGACATAGAAAAAGAAGCATAGATACAAAAGGCAACTGTCAACCAGCTCCACAGGCGGCCCCGTCCAGGAAACACACAGCCAGGCAGACGAGCTCCGAGCCAGCTCCCATGTCAGAGGATGAAGAGAGCACATCCAGTTAGTCACAGTCAGAGAAACAGGACTACACTGGAAAACAGGCCAAGCTCCAACATCTAGAAACAAAGGTGTTGATGGCAGCAGCACAGCTGATATTTCTCTCCAGGATGGAGTCACAGCCAAACAGGAACAGACCAGATGAAGCTACTATGAGAAAAAGCAGAGAGAGCAGAACGTTAGAGATTGAACTAACAGATTCTGCAGAGCGGGAGAATAGAGATAGAATGAAGCAGAATGATGAAAAAGGGGTCCCTATGTCCTCCAAAAGTCTAAGCCTATAGCAGCAGAACTATAGAGATAGATCAGGATAACCTGAGCCACTCTAACTAGAAGCTTTATCAAAAAGGAAAGTTTTAAGCCTAGCCTTAAAAGTAGACAGGGTGTCTGCCTCACGGACTAAAACTGGTAGTTGGTTCCACAGGAGAGGAGCCTGAGAACTAAAAGATCTGCCTTTGATTCTTGTTTCCTTTCTGCCTCCTTAATTAGGATTATAATGTTGCCACATCTATAAACCTGATACTTCAATCTGCTTTTTAACATCCTCCAACAGGAGGTGATTATTCTCAATTTGTTTCAGTTATCCTCGAACACAAACGCTGCAAAACAATATTAGAAATAGTTTACATATTAAACCTGAAACTTTACCAACAGCTGCTGAAGATCTATAGAAAGGTAATTCTGAAAAAAACAACAAAAAAACTAAAGGAATCTGTTAAGAGAAGGAGCTCTCCATCGTACATTTGATCTACAGTTAAATCTTATTTCATCAAGTCTAAACAATAAAATGCACATTTTGAAGAAGTCCACAACATCTGGTTCACCTCTAACTCTGCTTGGTTGTAGGTTGAGAATTCAAATCTGTGCGGTTATCTTAACTATTTAACTTGTAATTTTTTGTCGAAAATATTTCTAAATCCAATGCAGCTTTATATTATTTTAAAAACTGATTAAGCTAAGAACAATATGTAATATTGTGATAGGCCTGGAGCCATGGATGTCTCCTCATCTGCTAACATGTATGATGTAATGATGTGGCAGACTGGACTTGTATTAAATGCTTCTCTAACTGTGAATTCACGAGATGCGAGCCCGGTTGGTACGCAGCTGCCTTCTGTAACTCTAAGCAACTTTTTTTGGTCTGAGTAAGATTACAATTTCTATCAAAATCTGTTGTCATGTCTCCTGGTTATTTTATACATATACGTAATGAAGTGTTATTTAAAGAGTTTGTCAGGAGTGATCTCTTTTCAGGAAAAAGAACCAGAGAGGGAAAGCTTGAAGGTGCAAACCCATAGCTTTCCATTAACAGGTATGAAAAAACGGTTCTTGTTGCTTTTAAAGTGAGCGTCCCATTGAGGTTGAATATTTAAAATACCCCATTAGATTAATGTTTGTTTTTTTATGGAAAAACCAGAGCACCTGGGGAAAACCACTTAGATAGACAGACACACAGACAGACGAGCCTGTAGTTTTCATCTACAGGCTCGTAGAGGTTCACTTTTGTCGGAACAGGCCCTTAAAAATGTCTCTAAATCCCCCAAAGATACTAGGTTTACAGTTTCGGGGTTTTGGAAGATGACTTCTTAAATATTTTACCACTGCAGTCTGAACTGGACAAACACTGTGTGATATCATGGCACTGTATAGCTCTTGATCCGAGCCAAACTCCTCTCTCAGTTGTTTGCAGATGTCTGTAACGACCTTTTTTACTAATTCTTCATTTTTACTCAGGTCTGCAAGTCTCTTCACTCTCTTTCCCGACATATTGGATAAGCTCTGTCTTATCTCTAGTGACGTCAGGGGTCCGCCTCTTTTCTTTGAACACCTGAACACTGCGGCCATTACAAAGAAAGCCAAATGTTTGTTCTAATCAAACGTTTCTGGTCTTTTCCTGGGCAGATCAAACGGTTTCATTTCAAAAGAAAAAACGGAATCACTAGAGACAGACGCAGACCGGGCAGCATTTCCCTCCGATGTACATGGGATGTCCTGTTTGCTGTCGGTCACGGTACTAATGGACCCTGATTCTTGGGAATGAAAAGTGTCTTGTTCATTTTGGGGTTTGGGTGTGCTCGGCCTTAGTTCTTGAAAAACACTGGCTTCTGGGCTGTTCGTTTGACTCGACAATGTTTCCACCAGATCATCGATCTCTGAGACTAAGCTGCACACTTTGTCTCCTTCACTTATCCCCTCTGTTTCTTCTATTTTTATCCAAAGAATGACTTTTCCAAGGAACAGCTTAACCTCTTCTTCAGTTCTGGCATAAAAAACTTCAGGGCAAATTTGGATCCGCCCAGAGAAGTCTCTAGTTTTCTTTAGAGAGATGACAGAATCTGACAGCCACTTTCCTTTTGGAGGAGATGGGATTTTACTATAATACTCCCTTGTGAGGTCTGCGTATATCCGATCAGTCAGTTCCTTTGCAAATTCTTGGATCATGTCACTCAGAAATGGATTTTCCAAAGGTTCTGCACACAAGACGTCAATTAGTGATTTGATGGTGTGATAATCTGGTTTGGGAATGTATTTTGTGTCCTTGTAGTCCAGTGTATCTGGGATGTCCTCTTCTGATGATGAATAGTCCGGTGTACATCCAGGGAAAATGATTTGGCTCCATTCACAACAGTTCAGCTTTACCAGTTTTGTGTCACCTGGAAGTAAAGCTTTCTTCAGAGAAGCCACCATGTTTTCAAACAGCCGTTTGACAAACTGGGAGAATTCAGGTTTGGCGATTGCATCTGAGTTGCCGGTTCTGAGCCTTGATCGGAAAATGTTTTTGAGGATGAAAACGATTTTTTCATTGTTAAAAGCGCGCTGACCTGAAGGGCTCTGTGGTTTTCCAGCTGAACTGAGTTCCTCTATGATCGTTTTGCTGATTTTCTCTGACAGTTCTGCTATTTCAAATGAATTAACCAATTGTTCTTGTTAGGTTTATTCTTTATACATCATGTGCATTGTTATTTTATTAGCCAGATTAGAGAGAGTGGAAGGCCTTCCTTCACATTGTGGATGTCGCTGTGTGTACGGAGGTCATCTAATCAGGACAGCCTTCGTGTCTTTAAGAATACACAGGATATGGGCACATCTTGGAGCCAGACTGATAGGAGAGCTACTGTATCTGTAACCCTGAGACAGAGAGGCAACCTGCATGGAGTTCAAGACATGGATGGCGTGTCAGTTTCTGATACGGACAGCTAAGCATCCTCATGATGCAACACAGACTCAGCAGGTATAAGAAGCAGGAGATGACGTTGTTCAGGGCTCAAACTTTGCCGGACGCTTGCGGACGTGATTTTTGAGACCACAGC